CACTGCTCAATTCCTTATGGATTGGATTCCTTTCAGGTGTTAATTTTTTTTTTTGCGAGAATATATGGGCAAACTCTTATTTCTATTAATTGCGTACTTTCTTAAAACATCAATTGATTACACTAAACTTATAAGATTTATTAATCAAGTCTTCTCTCTTCTAATCCTTACTTTATTTTAAAAATCCAAACATTTATCATCATCGTTGGTATCATAATTAAGGAGCGCTATGAATCATCAAAAATAGTGCACCTTGTCTTTATCTGTTTTCCTTAATGCGCGGATATAGTAAATCTGCCATATTACGGTACCATACAAAGACGCAACTTTCCAGGAAATTTCAGTTATTGGAAAAGGTAATAAGGGAACGGAATTCTAATCAGAGCGATAACTAAACTGTTTGCTAAATAGATGATTTGTGGCTAAGGATTCATGAAACGCTCACTTTTTATGGACTTCATTGTGATTATGTTGCTCTCTACTTTGGTATTCTACGCTTGAAACCAACATTATTATGCCATGCTCTTTTAGAAAATCTTCTGCTAGTTAGCTTTTTTTTGCAACTAGCTTTTAGTAGAGTAGCTCACCTATTAAAACATAAATAGAAATACAGAAATTATTTCTCAGTGCTCTACCGCTGCTTTTAGTCTCTCCTTTCTAGAAAAACAGGTCGAATCAATCAAAGACCTTCAGAGCATCCATTGAACGAAGGATGTCATTAGAATGAAGGATCACCTCTTCCTTTCCCACCAGCAGAATCGCCAGAGTCGTAGTCGTCGTAGTCTCGCTGTAATCGTGCCAATTGAAAAGCTGAAGGCGCTCTTCTCTTGTAAACCCGTTGATCTTCAACCATTTATTAAAGACTTCTTGAAAATGATTAAGAATTTTTTGTTATTCAACTCACTTTTTTGTATTCTTCCATAGGAAAGGCCTAACAAGAATACAGTCAAGTAGAGGATTAGTCGCATATGCCCTGAAAGAGAAACCTAGTCATATAAAGAACTGG